GAGCCTCCACAGCTTGTTGCAGGTGCGGCCTATTGCGGCTGACCTCGCTGCGAGCTCTGTAGCACCATGAGGTGGCATGTGACTTCTTTCACAATGCATCCAATCAGCATCACGACCCTATTCAAAGACTCGCACGAGGCTCGCAAAGCTTCTTGCTAAGTTCGTACCCACGGCACCAAGTGAGGCTGATCGCCTCCTGATCTGTCCCAGAACGGTGCAAGCACGCAGGAGGGCCCCTTCTCAAATTGGGCTAGACGTGGCACACGGCAGCACCGCGTTGAAGCTGAAAACCTTGGGCGTGCTGTTGGGGTTCCACAGCTTGGAGTTTAGTCTGCTGTCAGTGCTGGTCCTAGCATACTACTGCTACTACGATTACGACGACGACGACGACGACGACGACGACGACGACTACTACTACTACTACTACTACCGCTGCTCCTGCCAGTGCTAGTGTTATTGCTACTGCTACTGCTACTGCGACGGCGACGACAACTGCGCTGTCGCATCAGCTCCACCCCGAAACCCCAATGTCATAAAACCGAGACAACATATAGTCACATAATGCAATAAACAGTATAACCTATAATTTAATGAATATACATGCAATCGATGAGGTAATGTATAGTTCAAGTCAAAGGTTCCAGCCCAACGGTCCTCCGAGGCACAAACAGCGCAGATGAAGGATTGGATCGAGGCGTCCGGTGCCCCAGCACTCCGTGGAAAGGTAGGCATACTTGGAGGCCCGGTAAACTTGGTAAGTAGGTTATAAGTAGACTTATAAGTACCCTAAATGGAGTTACCCCAGCTATAACCCTACTGATAACCGACTTACTAAGTCCCCTGGGCCTCTAAGTACTGTACATGCACTTGCACTTTTCCAATGGCGTATCCCGGTCTCTCTCTTTGTCCGTCTCTCTCTCTCTCTGTCTTTTTGTCCTCTCTTTATCAGTCTCTCCCTCTCCCCGCTCTCTCTCACTCTCCCTCTCTTCGTCTCCGTAGCTCACTGCAGGAAGGAGGGTCAAATACAGTACAAGAATGCATACTACGACAATGCTACCTCACTAGTCAGTAGTAGTAGTAGTAGTAGTAGTAGTAGTAGTAGTAGTTCATGCCCACGGACAGCCTGCGGGTAAACAGCGCGGGGTATACCGCACAAGGCAAAATGTCCATGCGCATGCGTATGTGTGTTCATGCACACGTGCACCGACGCCACGAGCTACAGAGTTCATGAGTAGCCGGAATGCACGAAGACGAGCGCAAGCAAGCTACTGCACACGCGCGCACACACACAGAGTGACATGGAAGAGCACATGTGCTGCTGCCAAACGCGTATCTATCGTTGTGGTTGAAACGTAGCTGCCAGGGTCGAAGTGTAGCGAGGGTAGATGCCGCACAGAAACATGTGGCCCACTTGCGGACCGTCTCGTGCACGCTGGCCAAATGTTTGCGAATTTTTTGAGGTGAGGCTCGCATCATCCCTAGACTCTAGACTTATACAGTATACACTCAGTATAGGGCAAGCTGTTTCATCTCTTCCCGATTCGCTTCGGCGGAACCCCGTCCTAAAGGCATTTTCTCTTAGAGATACCACCTCAGGCGTGGCCACGGGGATCAACGGAACTGCAGGCTCCATTTTAGGGTTTAGGGTTTAGGGCTTATAGACTAGACTCGAAACCTTCTACTTCGAGCGCCCGTATCAAGCTGCTGATGATGATTATGATGATGAGGAGTGTGGAGTAAGTAATGAAACATGACCGCCCCTCGGTGTGTGGGATGTGGTGGGGGGTTCAAGATCGTCCTCTGCAGACAGCTTTCCAGCATTTTTGCAGCTAACAGCTACAGCATGCTCTAGCTAAGGCGTGTGGACGACTTCATGCAAGCGTGCTCCTGGCCATGCCTTGCGCTGCATCTTGGGGTTTGTCCTTGAGACTTTCTTTGCCGGAGCAGGGGGGGCCCTGCGGCAGGTTGGTCTTGCTTGTCCTGCGTATTTCTGAGTGCCAGGAGGGCTTGGCTACGAGCGTCACCATGAGTCTTGCTGTTCATGATACTAGAGCATCACTGCGGTTTGACACGGCCACGTTGGATGAGTTGGATGTGGCTCGTCAGTATATCCCCGCCCCGGTCATATGCCTTTGCGGTTTAGGCTCCAAGCACCGAGCTCCGAAATGGGCCAAACCAGCAACGAATCTGTGCCAGGGTATTCTCAGGGCGAATCACAATGTGGCGGGCTTAGCACCTGGTCAGGGCAGCTTTGCCGGTTTTGCTTCTTACTGCCAAGTAAAATCAGCTTCGGACCGAAGTACCAAACTGCAGTTACTCTGTCTGGCTTCAACTGCCGTCAAAAGGCGGCAACTGCATTGTCTCCCGCGGCTCTCGCACCCTGAAGCAACTGATCTTCGAGCCAAAGCCACAGGGCAACAAGTCGTACATCTCAGCCTTAGGGCCTTCGGTTAGGGTTTAGGGTTTGGGGTTTAGGGTTTAGGGTTTAGGGTGCCGCTTGGATCACAGGACACCGGCAACAAATCGTACATCTCAGCCTTAGGGTGCCACAGGAAGTCTGCAGCCATGCTTGCTTTCAAACAAGGATTCTGTTGCACATGGTATGTCACATAATGTTTCGTACACAGCCCTCCGCTACAACGACCAAGACACGACAGGGACGCTGACCCAAACACGACCCAGACACGACCGGGTCACTGACCGAAACGCGGCCGACACACCGACCGGGATACGAACAGGACGCCGTCCATGACACGAGACAACGACCAAGACACTGACCGAAATGCGACTGGTATACCAACCGGGATTCGGATCACAACACGACCGGGACACCGACCCAGATTTGACGGAAGACCAGGGCGCCGGCTGGCCAGACTGTTCCTTCCCCACGCACCCTAACATAGGGGCCTAAATAATTACCAATACTATTGTGGGGGTTCCTTATTATAAATATGGTATACTATTATTGTGGGGGTTCCTTTTTATAAATATGGTATACTATACCCCAAAACTCCATTCTAAGTATTAAGGCCCCGATATTGTTGGGGAACTTCAGGGTCGCAGGGCTCGCACTCCGAAACCCCAATTTTTAAAGTCCTAAACCACGAAGTCCAAAGCCCGAAAGCCTCAAACCCGAAAACCCCCGGAATTGAGATTTAGCCTCGGGTGCCCAAGTCTTAAAAAGGAAAAACCAACCAAGCCAAGTCGAGCCGAAAGTAAAACATGATCACGTTGGAGTCTAGGTAAACATCGAACAGTTGATGCTGTTACCCTAAACCCTAAACCCTAAACCCTAAACCCTAAACCCTCATCACTAGTGGATGCAGCCGGCACGTGCGCGAGAGGTCAAGGCAGCCTCTTGCGTGTGGGTTTCAAGCCCAGGGTTGTTGAGTCGACGTCTTGGCTTTCTTGTATATGGGACTTTCCGAAAATTAGGGTACCTTATTTTGGGGTCCTTATAATAAGGAACCTATTATTTAGGGTACTATATTAGGGTCCCCTATTTTTGGAAACCCCCATATAACTGCGGTACGGTGCGGTGCAAGAAATGCCGACACCTGTCTGAGAGTTCGGGGCAGCCTCTTCTGTGAAGGGTTAGAGCCCTGGGAGTGAAGAACGTTGTGGCGAAGGGGATGTTCTGGGCCGAGAAAAGGCCTTCGCATCTGTATTCAAAACGGTATAGGTGTCGTGGAGCGGCCAATGGAAATGATCAGGGTCACTCTCGGCAGTTTAGAGGTCCAGGTTTGGGATTCAGGGCTTTGGGCTTAGGGTTTTGTTCAGGGTTTTATGTTTAGGCTTTCACGGCAGTGGAGAACTCTAAACCTGCTGTTCCTGAGTCCGCCCGCCAACCCTGAACACCCAAACGAAAGCCGGTCATTCCTCTTGCTCGTGGACTAAGACGCGATGCCGTCGATGTCCAGCCCTTGGACCAGAGTCGTTCTGGTGTGCGATTGCAAAGGGTGGGAACGCGGTTAGTGCATTCAGCTCGCATTCGGTGGGTGCACTCCTTCATACTCAGGGCTTGTGTACTTCGTCTGAATTTGCTTCCTGATTCATGAAATTGTTCGTGCCTCATCATCCGTTTAGCCAATCGTGCGACGGCCTTGATGAAACTTCCGTCGTACAAGTGGCTCAGTCAAACGCAAACGTTTGCGTACAATCTGTTCGCACCAAATCAATCACGAATGGTTCTTGCGTGCAGGGCATGCCCGCATGCGAGGTCAGAAAAACTACAAGTAGCGGCAAGGGAGAGGAGCTCATGCCGTTCGATACAACGCACGAGCATGCCATGCACGCATACATGAGTGCAGTTATGAGTGAGCGAATGAACCATTAAGCCAATGAGCGACTGCATAAAGATACATGAACGAATGAGTGAATCACGGAATCAAGCAATGAACGACCGAACGGCTGAGCGAGCGCATGAACAAATGAATGAATTATCATATGGGTGGTTGTCAAAATTAGGGTCCCTTTTTGGGGTACCCTAAATAATAGGTGCCGTATTATAATAAGGACCCAAAAAGGGACCATAATTTTGACAACCACCCATATGTGTGTGTACGTAGGTAAGTATGTATGTATGCATCTGTATCTCTGTACTTAGGTATTACTGGTGGCGATGGCCTCTTTAAGTGTTACAGGGTTTCGGATGGCTCCCGCTATATATGAAATGGTTCCCACTACATATATATATATATATGTATATATATATATACACACATATATATATATATAAATATGTATACATATATTCACTTATATATATATATATATACAACCCCAGGCGCTATACATGTCCCCTATATCTAAATCTGGCTATTCCATAAACTATATATCTATATCCACCTACGGCATACGGCTACATCATAGATAATGTTGGATACTGGTGCAGGATATGTTGCATCTACGTTAAGCTTGTCACATACATAGCCATATAGACTATATAGTTTAAATGACTAAATACTGCAGTGCAGTTCATATTTAGTGTCCACCGGTTTGAAGCGGTTCAGGACTGCATACAATCATGTGCCGTATATATATATATATATATCGCACGAAGCGGATTGGAGCGGTTTCCAGCTATATATAACCACCCCACCTAAACCCTAAACCCTAAACCCCAAACCCTAAACCCTAAGGGTGCTAGATATATGTCAACCAACTACAACTCGAACAATTCTGTTCAGTTGTACGGCCCTTTTCATGTATCAGTAAGTTGCACTTACCATTCATGACTTATGCCACTCGACCCTAAACCCTAAACCCTAACCACATTGGAGCTTCTGAGCTGCCTAATGGCTGGCCTAGTCGGCTAGTTCTGATCATGTCTCGAGCCTTCCCTTCTCCCCTAACACAATTAAAAGGGTTTGGGTTTAGGGTTTTGGGTTTAGGGTTTGGGGTTTAGGGTTTAGGGTTTCCTAAACCCTAAACCCTAAACGATTAAAGACCTATTCTACATATGCAGGCCCGTTTACATGGCTTAAATCCTGATCCT